GAGACAAAGCAGCAGTGATCTTCCGTGGAGACAAAGCAGCAGTGATCTTCCGTTCGGACAAAGCAACAGCGATCCCAAATTCAGCCAAGGACCTATAAAATTCAGTCAACTAATCACCAACAGTAGTAAATTTGAAGCTGGCAATGAGTTGGGACTCAACTACTCACCTGCTGACACATACACATGCAGACATGCACATACACAGGAGGAGGAGGAAAGCAGCAAGCTTGGCCTTCATCCCACGAAAGCCAGAACAGCACGCATAACACGATCTGCTGCTCAGCCACAACCAAACCCCACACAAGTTGAGAGTCAAGTACTGGGAGCAGGAAGAGGAAACCAAGTTCCAGAAAAGGCATTGCTACCTCCTTTTATACTTCGCCCACTTATCTAACAGGAAGTGACATTTCCCTAGCCGGGTACATTTCTTTACTGCTACACTTTGTTCGTCTAAATCTGTAAGAAAGATCATCATGCTAGAAAGCTGATCGCGTGTTAAGTTCTGTTTTTTCCGCAAAAAGAAGTAGAGAATTTGTTTATTGATTTTATTAAGTGCTTTGCTGACAAATGTTAATAGTTCCTAAACCGAACGTCCACCATTTTGAACAGAGCTTGACCCGGGAAAGAGAAAGGTCAAAGCTCCGCCTCTTCCTTTAAAGATACACGCATCTTATCCAAACAGCGATTCCTTAGTGGTCAAAGAAAGTATTACACTTTAAACAGGCCAAATTAAGTAAGCATTTGTGGATAACACATTTTAAACAAATTAACCAAAATTTCTTCTTAAATTTGACAATGATTTCAGTTTATAAGTTCAACTAAGCTGAAATCTTGGACTTATAACATAAAGAAAAAAAATATTGTTCAAAGAAACTTAATTCAAATCTCAGTTTAAATTAATAATTCTAAATAATTTTATCATACATTGGAAATGTTTTAAATTTTAAGAGCTGATTAAACTAATGTAATATCTGTTGATATTAAAATGTTGTTTATCAATTTAGCTTTAATTTTAAAAGTGAAGCAACCAAGCTCCTTCTAATATTTAATTAAATGCTTTATTTAAACAACTTTTTATCAATAAAGGGTAACTTAACAAACACTTAAAGTTAACCCCTCACAAGTAAACACATTTTTTAAATCTAAAAAAGTTAAATCTGGTCTTCTGGACATTCAGAAAAAAAAAAACAAAGCAAATCAACAAAAAAATGTAGAAACGTTTCGTCTCTGATCCGAGAGACTTCCTCAGTCTGAGGTGCTGTTTTCAGCTCAGTCTCTTAAATAGCACCTTCTCAGAGTGGATCAACCAGTTTGCTGCTGACAACCAAAACCAGCTGCTCACATGCTCAAGAAGGACCATCAGCCTAACAATGGATCATTAGCACACTGATGGCTGTTTACTACTCACAGAGGGCTGAGTGATACTAGCAATAACAGCATTGTAAGAGGGGGACAGTTGAACCCGGAGGCCTCCACCCCTGTTTAACGATGGACGATTTCTTTTCACAAAGATGGCCTCCTTTACTCCTCTCTCAAACCATCGTTCCTCTCTGTCCAGGATGTGAAAATCTTCATCCCTGAAAGAGTGACCGCTGGCCTGGAGATGAGTGTAGACCGCAGAGTCCTGGCCTGATGATGTTGATCTTCTGTGCTGGTCCATCCTTTTGGCCAGTGGCTGTTTAGTTTCCCCTATGTAAGACTGATCACAGCCCTCCTGACACTGAACAGCATACACAACATTGCTCTGTTTGTGCCGGGGGACTGGATCTTTGGGATGAACCAGTCTTTGCCGTAATGTATTTTGGGGTTTAAAAGCCACTGGGACGTTATGTTTAGAAAATAAACATCCTAATCAGAGCCACACCTTTCAGGATCGTCACTTCCGACCTGAAAGAAAACCACCTTTAATATGTCAGAAACATTCTGAAAAGTACAAAGGATCACCAAAGACTAAAAAAGGTAAGTCTACCAACTTGACTCCTAAAGAACTTGAAATAATTAAATGTTTTCTTCATGAAACGCACCAAGACAATGACACCAACGGTGCTGACCGTT